CCGATTGTGTAGAGCCGCTGAAGCGGCTCAGTCCTGTACGGGAGGACCCATGTGGGCTTGGCCTTTGGCGGCTCTCTGGTCACAGTTTCTGAGGTTTTGGACGCCATTAACGAGCTTAATGAATCTTGATCGTGATTCAAGAATCAATGAATAACTGGATTTGAGATTACTTTTGGGGATTTTTGAAGAAAGAATATACTTTGGAAAATAAAAATAAAAAAGTACACTGAGCAAGACTACTTCCGCCTGTATATATATATCTCTCTCTCCGTTTCTCGCACGAGAATTTGCTCTCTATATTCTCTCCAATTCCCCCGGTCTTGTAAGAAATGATCTCTCCGGCTAAAATAGTCATTTCGCTTTTTTCTTTCTTTTTTAGCTTGTCCATTGTTTTGTTGTTATTACTCCCCCCCGTCTATTTTACGTGTCCGGTCAAATCAACTTTTCTTTTTTCAATTATTTTAATTTAATTTATAAGTAACTTAAATATTGACCCGAATACTAGTTCAAATAGCAAAGGAGATTCTTTGTAAAAACAAATTATATATACATCTATCATAATATTAATGATTTGTTTTATAAATACAAAATTAGTTATCATTTGATACAAGTTATTTGTATATCCAAGCTCTAGAAATTATATTTAATTATAAGTTATCAAGAGTATACAATATGATTCTACACGTGGTTCGTACTTTGAGGTTGATTAAAGCAAAATAAAAATTAATTCCTCCTTGATGTCAATGAAGGAAGATGTATTAGTTGACCAAGCTTACTATGAAGACTTCAAATCATTACCGAATTTGCGTGTTTTTTATTTGCAAAAGAAAAAAAAAAGAGTAAAAGTAACATATTTACATCTCTTATGTAGTTTGTTGTGAATAAGATGTTAGTTTTGTGACTAAATAGTTAATGGAATGTCCATACCTATTACACGGTTTTGAGTTGAATCACTTGTGAACGTCAGTGTAACACGTTATTGATTATTAACTCGCTTAATTATATTTAGTGATTTTTTTAATATAAAATACGTTAAATACAGACAGTGTAATTTTTAAATTTGGATTCAACTTTTTTTTTTTTTTTTTTTTTTTTTGTAGTTCATTGGAGCTATTAAAAAAAAAAAAAAGGCAAACATTTTGTGAGAGTGTAAGGGGGGTGTATTCAATCATGACTTTCATAGAGTTTTAAAGACTAGAAAGTCTTTAAAAGTGCGGTATTCAATCAAGATTTTTAAAGAGTCTTTAAAAGTCGTGTGGTATTCGATTAAGACTTTTAAAGAGTCTTTAAAAGTCATGTGGTATTCAAAAAGTTATGAACTTTTGTAGACTTTTTAATTTTAAGACTTTTGTAGACTTTTCCTTCTCAAATATAAATAGTTGAAATCCAACCATCAACCTCAAGATTTCAAAATTTTATTTCTTACAACTTTGAATGCTTTCTCTCTCTATTAAAACTCTATTTTTTTCTCCCTATTTAAACTTTATAAATCTATCTAAATTCAATAAAATTATTTTTTATTCATTATCCTATATTTTCCTCATACATAAACTCTACTAATTTTTCTCTCTCTCCTAAACTTTACAATTTTCATCTAAAAATTTGAAATAATATTATTTTTATTTTTATTTTTTCTATGAATTTTTTATCCCTAACTTTCTCTAATTCCCTCTAAATACATGAACAAAGCAAATTTTTCATTGTCAAATTTGTATAAGTTTCATAATATTCATATAAATACTTATATATTTTGTTTTTATTCTTTTTATGCTTATATTCGTAATATATATTTTTCATTTTTTAACAAGTTACTACGAATAGCGGACTACTGTTCGCCATAACAATTTGGGGTTACAAATAGTAGCTCATTGTTGTTGTTCGCAGTCTCAAATTGCTATTGTAAATAATAGTACTTTGCGCGATAGATGCCTAGCAATATATCAAGTATAATTATATATATATATATATATATATATATATATATATATATATATATATATATATTATTGATATTAGATTTTTATTTCTTTATTTTATGGAACTTGTAATTATTTTAAATATTTTATTTGATCAATTCTTTTATTATAAATTTTATTGTTTAATATTGTTATGACTTTCTAATGAAATAGTTTTTTGTTTTTTTTGGTTGATGTTTATTAATAATATATATATAAGTAATTAGCATTTTTTTTGAAGAATAAACAATTAGCATATAATTCTCTGCATACTAGGGATTAAAATAATAATATTGAGAATGTTGATGTGGGTGAAGAACTATATAATAAGAAGAATTTTATGATATATTATAAATGTTTTGTAAGAAAATTATAAATGATAAGAATCAAAATCTTTGAAAGTTTGTAAGGATGTATTCAATTTAGAATTTCAATGACTTTTGTAGACTTTTTAAAATAAAAAGTTGATAAAAGTCTATGAATATTTTTTATATAGACTTTTATAGAGTCTTACAAAGTTTTAAAAAGTTTTAAACGACTCTATGAAAGTCAATCAAAGTTTATTAAAATCTATCATTTTAAAAGTCTTTAAAACTCTACAAAAGTCATGATTGAATAAACCCCCCTAAGACTATCTTATGGATCATTGTCCTTGTGACGGGTCTTGTAGTAGACAAGTGAGTGCATAAGTATTACAATACTTATCATTAGTAACAATCAATCTTACCCTAAAGAGCATTACAATTTCACATATCAATATTACAATAGCTATCAAATAAGTAACAATTTGTTTTCAAATTGGTATTACATTTTAATATTTTATACAATAAATATTACAATTTCAGTTATAAATATTACAATATTTATCACAATTTCACATATAAATATAAATATTATAATATATATTATAAGTAACAACTTTTTTTTAAAGCATTATAAGTAACAGTTTATTTATTTTAATTTGGTATTACATTTTTATGTAATAAATATGGACATGTTTTGTAAATTGCTGTTAGCTGATTGAGTTAATTAGAGGATATAATTAGTTGATAACATTAGCTAATTGTAGAAAGATATTTCGTAAATTAGCTGTTAGCTAATAGTTATTTGGTATAATTAATTTTTCAAAAAGTTAATTGAAAAAATTACTTTGAACACCTTTTTGAATTTTAAGATTTTGAAATTACAAAAAAACTAATTAACCAAACACTTATATTGATTTTTTAACCAAGTCAAACAATTAATAATGGGCCAAAATTGATTGATAGACTAACTATTTTACCAAACAGGACCATTATAATTTTTATCAAACAATTATTATAGATTCGACTCTTCTCACAGTTTAAGATTTGCGAGACGATTTTATACAAATATGACTTAAAAAGAATAGGAGGATATCAATAAATGTTAGCTCTTAACATTGATTTAGACCAAAACAAAATGTGACTCAAAAACATACAATATGAGGATACCAATAAATGTTAGCTCTCAACATTGTTTTAGACCAAAAACAACCAATTCAACGAGGACTTTGGTCTCAGCTGAGGTGATGAAGAGTGATTATCGGAGAAATCGCAACATGTGGTGGTGCTTGGTTGCCTACAACCTTGGCTATAACCAGTGCCCTTCAATCAAAGCTTCATGCATTGTGCTTTTATTGGCTAATATTTCTAGCCTTATTTCAACATTATATGGAATTAGCAACAAATATTATTATGTCAACAATTTTTAATTGATCTATAATTTTATTCGTAATAAACTGTTTTTACACGAATTAAGTACTACAAAAAAACTACTTGCGGGAAGTACTTACATTTTCTCTATACTATGCTTGACCCACAAAAATCTCTAAAAAAAAAAAATCATAAATGAGGGTGCTCTTAAAGCCAACAATTTTGACACACATATTAACTTAGTGAAAGTTTTAACCCATTGTAAGAGGTAAATTATGCTGTGAAAAAGGTGGACAACTGGACACGGTTCCAAAATTGTTCATAATTATAAATATATAGTTCAAAATTATGAACATATAATTCTATAATTATAAACATAGAGTTGTGAACATAATTATGAATATATAGTTTTTTTATTTGTGAATATAGAGATTCAATAATTGTGAATATGAAGTTAAAAAATTATGAATATATAGCTTTATAATTATGAACATAAAATTTTGTAATTGTGAATATAAAGTTCAATAATTATGAATATAAAATTTAAAAATTATAAATATAAGATAATTATGAACATATAGTTCACTAATTATGAACATACAACCGTGTCTACGGTTCCACAGCCTAACAATTGGGAGTAGTTATGCTGTGCATCCGTATGCACCATGCATGGTGCATACGGATTTAAAAACGACGTCGTTTTATTAAAAACGCGCGTCTCCTCTTAAAAAAAATTCATGTTCGATTCTAAGCAATAGCATTATGTTGTTCATTCATTCTGGAATTCTAGTTCATAGATTATGGAATTTTAGTTCATTGATTCTGGAACTATAGTTCATCGATTTTGGAATTGTAGTTCATCGATTCTGAAATTTTAGTTCATTCATTCTGGAATTTTTAGTTCATAGATTAGATTCTGGAATTTTAGTTCATAGATTATGGAATTATAGTTCATCGATTATGGAATTATAGTTCATTAATTCTGAAATTTAGTTCATATGTTGTTGTTGGGAATCGAACTTGATTTTTTTTTTTTTAAAGGGGAGACGCGCGTTTTTAATAGAACAACGTTGTTTTTGCATCCGTGTGCACCATTACGGATGCAAAACATAATTTGCCAACAATTGGTTCTAAGATGGATCAATACCCATACGCATAATTTGAACCAAACTGGTCCATGTAGGAGGCCTAGTCCAAATATATTGGCCCATTAATCGACCATCTGCCTAGAAAAAAACACGACACGTGTTCTCCCTTCATTCGAGGGAAAAGCCGTCACTGTCTCATTAATCAACTAACCTTGTGCCACCAGTGCTATAGCTATTGTACCTTCCCCCGATAAAAGGTGTTGTACTCTCATTGAACTAGGGAAAGCCGGTGGAAAAAGACAGGCTAGATACGGGCGTGTCTACCGCTGAAGGCCGGTGGAAATCTAGATCGTCGAGTATTAAATCCAGAAATCAGGTGCCTCTCACACCGCCACGTGTCTCTACCCTCCGTCTATAAAAAACTAAACTCATTGTTCCATGGAAGTTCGCTCATAACTTTGTCTTCACTCTTCTCACTCTCAACCGCTGCTTCTCTCTACGAAAAATAGCTCTCTCCTCTCTCTACACAGTTTCAATCGGAAGTTGATTCGTCATGAGTCGTTTTTGGACTTTGATCACTCACCTTCATACTCTCGCCGGGTATGTAATAATATTATTGATTGATTTTTTTTTGATTAATTAATTGCTTCGTAATCGTTCTGATTTCTATCTCTATCTTCAAATTTATCCCCAGGCCAGTGATGATGTTGCTCTATCCTCTGTAAGTATCATCTCTGTGTAAGTATTTTCCCTAAATACAATATATTATAATATATTGTATTATTGGGTGGCTGTGGTGCAAGTAGGAGATTGAGTCAATTAGTGACTTAATCTGTTATGCAACTCAGGATATTCAGTTAAGCTTTAACTGAATATCTGCCTATGTTGATGGCATGTAGGCTTCTAAGCAAAATAGTCCTCCCACGGCTCCCGAGTTCAGGACACGCACCATCACGTATTCGGGAGAGAAGTGGTAGACAAAACACTTCCTATAGGTTTACCATTCCAGAGGCAATTTCCACAACCATGGCTGGAGATATTCGGGCGATCCTAAAGCTTCCGCTATACGAGGACAGGTTACTCGTAATGTTCAGTTTAATGTTAGCATTATTATTGACTAACACTCTGTGTTAACTGATCTCTGTTTTTTTTTTTCATGAATTTTTTTAAATATGTTTGCTGATTATGATTTATACTGGTGTCTGTATATATATGGATTACGTGTATATATAAAGGTATGCGTCTGTTGTAGCGATAGAAACAACTTCAAAATTGGATGATGAGCAGTGGCTAGCATATTGGATACTGTATTCTTTCCTCACGCTCATGGAAATGCTACTGGAACCTATGCTTCAGTGGTATATATGTTTTAATTTTTTCCCCCTGCTGCTAATTCTTTTTTCTTTTCTGGAAGTTATTCAATTTGTTTATACTGGAGCTTTGTACTTTATACCTTTCGTGTGTTACAAGTTCAAACTCAGATTATAAAAGGTTTGGAGTTTTGTGTGATGTGTGATATATGTGTGATGGTGATAGGATACCAATATGGTATGATGTGAAATTGTTATTTGTGGCGTGGCTGGTTCTGCCTCAGTTCAGAGGGGCTGCCTTCATATATAACAAACTGGTTAGGGAAAAGCTTATCAAGAAATATGGAGCAAGATTCTTACCACAACAACAAAATTCCCCAAATGGCAAGGCCAAAACCAAAACTAAATTTGTGGACTTCATTTCCCCTAAGAAGGTTAGTAAGAGATTCCCCTTCTTATGCTCGCCATTAACTCTATAATTTCATTGCATTTTTTTTTTGTGCTAATAGTCTTGGATATAAGAGTATTTTTAATTGTTTGGTTTTTGCAAAATATTTTTATTTTTGGAAATTAAGTAGGAGAGGAAAAAAAATTGTCATATTTTTTAAGGGAACCAACCGTAAAATGTGAGAGTGGCAGCAAGCTCGCCAGTTGGCGGCCACTCTGACGCGCCCTCTGGGAGTGCGCTCCAAATGTGTGAGATGCATTTTTTTTTTCTCCTCCTTTAAAAATCATGTATTTGCGAGATAATTTTTTTTTTTAATCAGTGTTTTCATATGTTGTTCTTTAGGCAAGCAACCAGTTTTTCTGTGAAAAAATCCCGACAAAAACTACAAATGTGGATGTTCTAAATCAATATTATTGATATCAGGATTAATCAACACAGTAAACTTTCACTTTCACGTAGCATAACATGCCTTTGTTTCTTCTCTCACCCTCTATCTTTTGTTTTGGATATTCTTTTAACAGGGTGATCATGAAGTTTCCTAAAAGAAGAAGAGATGGACCGTGGACACACCTTGATATCTTACAAGCTCCCTTCTTGTCTGAATTCTTCTTTTTACCTTTCTTGATTTAATTTGTTGACCAGTAAAGATATGTACATCGTATGATCTTTGACATGTTCACATGAAATATCACTTTTTGGTGTTTGTAATGTAAAAAATTGTGTCCAAAATGTTGTTAATTGAGATTTACTAATGAATGTATGTTTGAGGATTGTGTATTGTACACAATCAAAGGCAATCCCTACTTATCAATAGATGGATAGAGTTTTTGTGACTTATTTGGTTATATAATATTTCGAGTATGATTTTTTTACATCAATATATATATATATATATATATATATATATATATATATATATATATATATATATATGGATATTATTTACAACAATATCTTTACTAAAAATGACATTTTATGTCTTTATTTTTCTACAAATTTACTGATTATTAAAAAACACTTAATATCTTGCATTATCCAACTTTAAAAACATATATTTTATAATCAGCTTGGTTGGCACGATTGTACACTCTTATTTCTTAAAAAAAATTTACTGATTATTAAAAATTTTTTGAAATATATTGCATTATCCAACTTTAAAAATATATATCTTATAATCACTTTGGTTGACATGAGTGATTGTACACTCTCATTCCTTAAAAAAAAATTTATTGATTATTAAGAAAACCTTGAAATATTTTGCATTATTCAACTCTAAAAATATATCTTATAATTAATTTGATTGGCGTGAGTGATTGTTCACTTTCATTCCTTAAAATAAATTAAAGCTGCCTCTAAGCTGTTATCCATCACCTAAACGGAATGCAGAGTGGGGAGCAACAGTAATCCAAACTCGAGAAGAGATCAAATATTAAATTAGAGCTCAGATATGGGCCAATAGGACTTCTTCAACTTGGGATGAAATATCAAGAGAAGTGCGATTGTGAGTGCAACCAATACAATTGCTTCTTTTAACCTCGTAAAATGCAAAAAAAAAACATTATAGTAACATAAAACAGTCCTCCATTAAATTCAATGGATTACGCTAAAACACAATATTGTAATGGAGATCCGGATTCGATTCTGCAATGAATAATGGGTTCCCCCAAGCCCATAAAAAAAAACCCGCTTGATATTTGGTAATCGACACTTGCCCTGATTTCCCTGCTCCGGCCCCCAAATCTGCTGTTGATTGATGAATTGATAGGGAAGGGAAGGGAAGGCGGGATTTTTTAAAAAGCATATTTATTTACCGCATTCACTCTTCCCACCCACAGTTTCAAAACCATTCATTCTCACTCCTCAAATCCAGCGGCCAAAAAAATTGAATTTTTTTAGAGAATATTTGTTGTTCTCGATTTTTGCCGAATTTCACTCTGTTGACTGTGAAAAATTGCTGTAATATTCCAATTAAGTAGGCGGGCTGAAGCCTGAAGGTGGGAGCTATGGAGGGATCGAACGAGCAGGATGTTAAGCTCGAGATCTGCTTGAATTTGGATACAAGGCTCGAACTGTACCGGCCGGAGGAAAAGGAGAAGTCGCCGGAGCTGACTCGACCAGAAGAAGCCGTTAGTTTTACTGATGGGAAAGGGAATGCGGGTTCAGCGGGATGTGAAATGAAAATGAACGGCGCTTCCGAGGTTGAAAATATGGTAAAGCCGGAGAATATAAAAGATGCCTCTCCGCCGGAGCAGAAGCCTCGCCGGAAAAGAGGAAGACCCCCGAAGAAGAATATTAGTAGCGAGACAGTTTTTGCGTCAGATAAGGGGAATTTAGAGGGAAAGATGGAAAAGCAGCAGAATCGTCCTCGGAAAAGAGGAAGACCACCGAAGAATCGAGCTGAGATTGATGAAAGTTTGGATGGCAAAATTCTGGGTAAGAGGCAATGTAAAGATCAAATGGAACAAAACGGGGAAGACATTTGTACTCATGTGGAGAAGCCTCGTCGTAAAAGAGGAAGGCCGCCAAAAAGTAAGAATGAAGCTGATTGTGCCGGGAAAAGTTCGGAGCCTGGAAAAGAAGGGGTCGAAAATGGGGCTCCTGTGAAGAACAAAAAGCCAGGTAGGAGGGGTCGGAAACCAAATCCAAACAGAATTCAAAACCAGAGCCTTGGTAAAGATGAGGGACTGGCTTTGGAGACTGAAAACCCTGCTGAGAATGATAATAAAAGACGAGTTAAAAGGCAGGGTAGATGTCAACAAGGAGGAGGGGATGGAGAAGAGGAGCAAGGGAAGGAAAAAGTGGTGAGTGCATGCCCTCTTCAAATTGATGATTTTTGTTTTTTTTTTTTTTTTTTTTCTTGCCAAAAATCAAATTGATAAACTAAGATTATGCAAAAAGATCTGAACTTTGACTCATTGGTGAAATGTCATGTGTATTATGCTTTTTCCTGCTTGGTTAATTGGCTTTGTTGGCATCTCTGCTGACCTTAATTCTGCGTTTTCATTATTATAGTGTAATGAACTTGAACGGAACACTTGCCACCAGTGCAAGAGAAATGACAAGGGAAGGGTGGTTCGTTGCACCAGTTGTAATGCAAAGAGATACTGTTTACTTTGCATCACCAGATGGTATGGATACATAGACTAACAATTTCTTATTTTTTCTGTATTTTTGCTTTTTTTACTGCCCTGCTTGCTGTTGAAATTTAGGCGTGAGAGGTGCATTTGTTGAATTAACGGCAAAAAAGGGTCATTTGGTGTTGTTCTGCATAGTTATAATCATCTACCCTATGGCTATGTTTGGCAAACCTAGCTGAAAGCTATAAGTAGAAGCTGAAAATTGAAGAAGTGTTTGGTAAAATTAGCTTTTTGCTAAGCTGATAACTGTAAAAAGACTAAAAAGAACATCTTCATAAAATTGAGAGGGGTAAAGGATGTCATTTATTTAAAATAATAAGGAGAAAGATGAAAAAAAAAATTTGGAAGTTACTAGTTTATTCTTATTTTATTTAAGCTACTAGCTTTTTTTTTTTTTTTGAATGCATTTAAGCTACTAGCTTATTTTAGGAACATTATCAAATAGAGCTTATAGCTTATTAGTAGCTTAAAATAAGCTACAAGCTCTGCCAAACAGAGCCTATGTTAGGAATATTTTGAGGGAAATTTCTCTTTACAGGATGTTAATCACACTTATGGTCAAGTGTTTCAGCTGTATATAGTGATGCTTTCCTAAATTTTGTACACTTTGTTGCTATCATCCTTTTTGTTTCCATGAAAAAGGTATCCCGGTGTGCCAGAGGAGGCTTTTGCAGAAAAATGCCCCGTATGTCTCCAAAACTGCAATTGCAAAGCGTGCTTGCGATTGGATGGGTCTATAAGGGTTGGCTTCTTTTGCTCTTCTAGGTTTTAATATTTGATGTTTCTCTTGAATACCAGTTTTATGTACTGACCCGGGATTTCTCTTCTCCCCTCTATAGGCAATGAAGAAATTAAAATTTGAAGTCAGCTCAGAGGAGAAGGTTCAGTACTCTAAATATATATCGCGACTGCTTCTGCCTTTCTTGAGACAATTCAATGCAGAACAAATGACGGAGAGAGAGGTTGAAGCTAAGATTCGAGGTATTCTTTTGTTTGATGACAGTGCCCTGTTATGGTTTTGCATTCTTCTTATTCAATGATTTCTTGTTCCTCTCAGCTGCGTAAAAAAATCTTTTATTGATGCGCGAAAGTAAGATAAAAGCAAACCCTAGGTGGCTTCATGATTGATATTATGTCCCTATGGTGATGATATGTTGAACTTGTGCTTTTCTTTACTCTCATGTACGGTGAGGGAATTACAATTTTATTTTTCTATTTTTTCTTAAAGGAGTAATCCCTTCAGAGTTACATCTACAAGAAGCAAATTGCCAGAAGAATGAGCGGATGTATTGGTAGGTTTTGGAATGCCTTCTTTATTGTATGCCAATTATTCACTCTCATCCCTTAAGAGAGGTCGGAAGTTCGAACCCCCTCTCGTATGGAAAAACCAATCGGCCAGCACTTTGCCCCTTTATTGGGTTGGCCCGGTGCGAATGAGGATTAGTCGTCGTATGGTACGACTTAAATGTGCCTCTTACAGTTAGGACATGCTCAGGACACCTCATGGTCTGACCAAAAAAAAATTATTCACTCCTGTGCTGAAATATCTTTTGTGCCACATGGTTCTTGCAGCAACAACTGCAGAACATCCATTTTCGATTTTCACCGAAGCTGTTCAAAGTGTTCCTATGACCTTTGTCTTACGTGTTGCCAAGAGCTAAGGAATGGCGACCTAAAGGGGAGTGAAAAAGAAGTTGCCGTGGAATACATTGACAATGGGCTAGACTACTTGCATGGCGAAACTAACAGTGGAACCGCTATGAAAGGAAGCTCCAAGAGACGTGTCGACTTTAAGGTCATTGAAGACGTTGAGTTAAAATCTGAATCGAAACCCATCGATACTGAAGAAAAACTTTTTCTCCCGAAGCCTGCTGGCGATTGCTGTCTTCAATGGAGTTCTGGAGAAAATGGCGACATTCCTTGTCCACCAGGTAATAGGGGCGGTTGCAATGAGGGAAGCTTAGTATTAAAGCACTTGTTGGGGGAGAATTACATTTCAGAATTGCTAGCAAAAGCAGAAGAGATAGCAAAGACATGCAAGTTGGACGAATTTTCTGGAGATTCTCAGCAGACTTGTTCTTGTTTGAAATCAGTTAACAAGAATGACCTTCGTAACGTGTTATGCAAGGCAGCTTCTAGGAAGGATTCTGACGACAATTATTTATACTTCCCTAAAGCTAAAGATATTCAGCACGAGGATCTGAAGCATTTCCAATGGCATTGGCGTAAAGGAGAACCTGTAATTGTTGGTAATGTCCTGGAAACTACCTCGGGATTGAGTTGGGAGCCCCGGGTTATGCAGCGCGCCTTCCGCCAGAAAAGAAGTCAAAACCATTCGTTTCTTTTAGATGTGATTGCTGTCAACTGCTTGGATTGGTGTGAGGTTAGTGCGGGAATTTTGTCCCAAAAAATTATCAATAATGCTTTAGTCCTATCTTGATTGGTCTATAATGCAAATTGGCCAAACCATACTAAAAGATTGAATCCAACCAATTAGCTAGTCTAATCACCCATGGCCTTATAAACCCATATTTTCTCTCTTATTTTATCAATGTGGGACTTTTAACAGATCCTATATGATATAGTCAATTTCTTAATGTTATTTCTGGGTGACATGCAGGTTCAAATTAATATCTCCAAGTTTTTTAAGGGATACATGGACTGTCAATTTGACAGATACGGGTGGCCTCAAATTCTCAAGCTGAAAGACTGGCCTCCATCCAATTTATTTCATGAGCGGTTGCCTCGTCATGCTGCTGAGTTTGAAAACTGCCTTCCTTTCAAGGCGTACACGAGTTTTAAAAATGGCTACTTAAATCTTGCTGTGAAGTTGCCAGAGGATTCCTTGAAACCGGATATGGGACCAAAGACATATATTGCTTATGGAGTCCATCAAGAACTAGGCCGTGGTGACTCTGTAACCAAGCTGCATTGTGATATGTCTGATGCGGTATCTACACTCCTTTATGCCATTCATTAATTCGAATAAGGGTGTGTTTGGAAAGTAGGAAAATGACTTCTGGAAAATTAGTCATTTTTCGGAAAACATTTTCCTTTTCCGTGTTTGGTTGCATTCCAGAAAACTGTCTTGGCGTGTTTGGTTCATTTTCTGGAAAATGAGCATAATTATTTTTAATTTTAAGTATTTAAAATATACAATGATGGTGGTGGTGGTGGCGGTGGTTGTGGTAGTAGTGGTGGTGGCGGGTGATTGGCTGCTCCACTGCTTCAAACGGAAAATAACTTCCCCAAAAAAGGGGAAGTCATTTTCCGGAAAATCCCTTCTATTTTCCATTCACTTCCATTTTTCCCCTCTAGCCAAACACTGGGGTTGTTTACTAACAGAAAACTGTTATCTGTTTTCTGTTTAGAAAACTTGTTACTAACACTTATTTTTTCAAATTTATTTTTTTTAGATTAACGTTATAAAATTAACCAAGGTTGCAAAAATCGCGCCTAGGTGCTAGGCGGCGGCCGGCCGCTTAGAAAATTCGGCGGAATCGCTGCTGTTCTAGGCGCCGAGTAGGTCGCCGTAGACTAGGCGGCCTAGGCAGTCATCTAGGCTGGAGTTTAAATATTTTTTTAAAAAAATAAATCTTTTATTTAGTTATTTTTTAAAAACGGGCGCCTAGCGATTTTTTCAACCTTGAAATTAACACAAGTCACAAGTCTAATTTCGAGTGATTTTTAGATTTTATATTTAAAATATTTTTTTTTACATATGTTTGGTTTGAGTGGAATAATTTTTTTTTTAAAGATTTTTACATAAAAACTAAAAAATATATCCGAACCAATAACCTACTCAGTTAACCTAAAATTTAGTTTAGCTAATATTAATAATTTTTGAGCTAATATTTAAAATATTTTTTGGATATATTCATTTGAATGACATCTATATGAATATATAATTTTTACTTTTAATTCTAATATATATGAGATTTCAATATCCGATATTCGGACCGAACTTGTATTATGATATAACATAACTAAAAATATCCGAAATAATAATCTATTGAGTTCAATCAAAATCTAAAACATTGTATAGAGTTCAATTCTTAATTTTGATCATGTAAATAATGTCTAACTTTAAAGTGTAAGCAAATAAGTTATGTTTAAATAAATAAAGTAAGTAGAAAAGATAGAAGATGGTGATAAGTAAAAGAAGATAATAGATGATTTTGTTTTCCATTTAGAAAACAGTTTTTAAGATTGTTCCAATTTTCTAATTATTTTCAGTTTTTAAAATTGAAAACTGTGTTAGTAAACATGTTTTATGTTTTTCCAATTCTCCAATTTTCTGAGAAAATTTCCTGTGAGTAAACGGGCTCTGGAAATCCGGAAAATGATTTCCAGAAATCATTTTCCGGATTTCCAAACGCACCCTAAGTGGAATCAACTGAAGCAGCTGCATTTTGGATACTACTATTATATATACCAGATTTTTGGCTTTATTGCAATGTAGTTGCGCTATAGAAGTAGGAAAAAAACTGATTATGTGTCTCCTTACGAGGTTTAAACTCGGCATAAATTTTTGTTGCAGGTGAATGTCTTGACACATGCTCAAGGAACAGAATTAACACCGGAACACCTTTCAACTATAGAAGAGTTGAAAAAGCAGCATGCTGCCCAGGATCAAAAGGAACTGGAGATGGTTGATCAGCAGGAGGAAAAATGTGAAAGTGGATTTGATGCATTGAATGATGAATACCCTCGTCACGGTTTGGTGACGAAAGCAAAGTCCGATGATCAAGGAGATGAGAAATCTGGCGCCTCGATGCAGGGTAGTACTGATGGGGTATTGACCAATATGCAGAATATGGCCTGCACTCCTGAAACGGGTGCAAATGGTGAAGGGGCGGGATGTGGAAGTATGAACCTTAACTGCGATATGCAATTAAGTGATGACTCTCAAGTATTAGAACACAGCAATGGTGGCGCTCTCTGGGATATCTTTAGGAGGGAAGATGTTCCTAAGTTGGAAAAATATCTCAGGAAACACTTCAAGGAGTTCAGGCATATTCATTGTTACCCTGTGCCACAGGTACAAACTTTTTCATGATTGTAGTATCCAACTATGGTGATCTGTATTACATATGTTGTTAAGAGTCCCACATTGATAAAATAAGAGAAGATACATGGGTTTATAAGACTGAGTTAGATCAATTAATTGATTGGATTTAGTCTTTTAATGAGTTTGGGTCATGTGCATTATGGCTTAATTTTAGATTTTAACATGGTATCAGAGCCTAGTCATGAGTCATGACTTTTGCTGGGTGATTTTGAGATTACTTTATTTCAATTACCATCTCTCTCTTATTTAGGTTGTAACATGGTATCAGAGCCTAGTCATGAGTCATGACTTTTGCTGGGTGATTTTGAGATTACTTTATTTCAATTACCATCTCTCTCTTATTTAGGTTGTTCACCCCATACACGATCAAGCTTTTTACTTGACCGTTGAGCATAAAAAGAGGCTTAAGGAAGAATACGGTTAGTTTATGGTGTAACCACTGTTACCCAGCTCTACTTTTAAATTTTAGGGAGTATTTGAATAGTATGCTATGCTGAACTCTATCTTACAGGGATTGAACCATGGACGTTCATTCAAAAATTAGGAGATGCTGTTTTCATACCAGCGGGCTGCCCTCATCAAGTTAGAAATTTAAAGGTATATTAGCTTATACATCTCATTGAGCCATTGATCTTGGTTACTTTAGCATCTATAGCCATGGCTTTCTATATGCATTTTTGCTCGATCTTTCCCAAGGTTTCTTGTTAATAAAGGCCACCCGTTTCTGTTTTTCTTGGCAGTCGTGCTTAAAAGTTGCTGTTGACTTCGTTTCTCCTGAAAATATTCACGAGTGCATGAGACTGACTGAGGAGTTCCGAACTCTTCCTCAAAATCACAGGGCCAAGGAAGATAAACTGGAGGTGTGATTTCTGTTTGTTAAGAATCTCACATTGATATAATATGAGAGAATATATGGGTTTATAAGGTCATGTGTTAGATTAGCTAATTGGTTGGATTCAATCTTTTAGTGTGGTTTGGCTCAATTTATGACTTGCACACATTTGTTTATATCAGTAAATTCACCTGAATAAAATTTTTGAAACTTCAACAATTGTCCGATTCACCTGAATACAAATTTTGATCTTCAACAATTGTCTTGAACAGGTTAAGAAAATGATCATTTGTGCAGTGAAGGAGGCACTGAAGGATATTGAGAAATTAACTTTGTAAGTATGCCAATTAAACCCCTAAAACTAGCAATGCTGGCTTGCTTAGCTTATTGTTCGAGAAACAAGATGGCTATACACAGTATATAACCGATAAATTGCATGGTTTGATTTGCAGGGAATGAAGGGACGGAAACAAGTTGACTCCTCAAACCAACTGCAGATTATTATGAGAGATGTGCTGTGTATATATAGCTGTCTAACATGTCATCTGTTTTTACCCACTGTTATCATTTCCTCCGTTTTTGATTTGTCGAAGATTGGAGAAAGAGTGTTTAATTTCCTGCTTGACATGTTACCCTGATCTATGAACTTATGATCTTACGAATCTAATTCGAATTCCACATTTATTTCCATTACCATTTCTATATTCTCTATTTCATGGTTTTCTCTCAACGAGCGCATAATGCCAGGTTAGTTTTCATGTTTTTTATTATGTATATATATGTATATATAGAGTCTTGAAAAGCATATATGCAGGAGAATTAGACAATATGTATTATATCTGTGGTTGTGAAAAAAATTTGTGAGGAAAAGAATGAGAATCCATTGATGAGATTTGAATGTCTCAGTATGAATCCGAGAGGAACATAATATATATATATATATATTTATCCTTTTTGAACTATGAGGGAAAGAAAACGGAACCAATTTGATTAATGTCTTTTTCTACTACTTCTTTTTCTTCATCTTCTTGTTCTTCATTGCAGGTTAGGTTAGATGATTAATCTGCGATGTTAACGGGGCTGACACAGCAGAACCATTTCTTGCCGGAGTGACGGCGGCCGACGAGGCGGGCGTCAGCATTTCGGTGCTGGTTTTTGAAGGACGAGAGGTTGCGGCCGGCGGGAGTCTCCGGCTGGTCTGCTCCGATGACACCCTCCCGGAGGGCCCTCCGTTCTGTGCGGGCCTTGTCGAAAATGAAGGAGTAGTCGTTGGGGTCGTCGTTGACGTCCCATTCTCCGAACTTGGGCAGCGCCTTGTTGTTTGCTTCTGTCATCTCCGATCAAGAAGAGGCAATGAGACATACGAGAAGCCCAGAAAAAGACAAACACAAAAGGCAAGAGATTCCTCCCATCAATTCTCTCTTTTCCTTTATACGTTTTTGCATGCATTCTTCCATGTCTACCATTACAATTTACAATTGAAGCTCCGTGAATGTGGGAAATTAAAGGCTCATTTCCTTGCTTTTCATCGTATATAAATTATTTCCAATTTTTTTACGTCATCCCACCCCACACGTACTGCAATTCAATCAAACAATTTTTTTTCCATTTTTCTTTCATATTTATATTTTTCCTTGTCAGCCAATGACCTTGTGGTGCAGTGGTTCAAAGTGATTCTCCAAATGGGAGGTCATGAGTTTGATTCCTAGTGGGAGTAGTATTGACTTGCATTCTTTACTTAGACATTTTTCTGTGGACCCACATGATGAAAATAATCAATCAATCAATCCTGGTTTGCCACCTCAGCCATCAGGAGTAGAATTTTGAGAGTCTATGTAGTAGAACTCCTACTTAAATCTCATTTTAAGGGGAAATGGACTATATATTTGACTTTTAGTTATTATCAAATCGTGGCGTATTTGATTCTTTAGGTACTAAATCTCTCATTAATTTTGTTCGTATAATAGTTTGCAAATCACATTGGGGAGATAAATTGCACTAAGAAAATTGTGTAGCGAATTTAACTGGAGAGATGTCGACAATTTATTGAACTCACGTCATTTAGTACGAGAATTATGTTCTTGATGGATATTTTATAAATGGATTAAGTGCGAATCAATCCGAAGAAAATCGGACCCAACCAGGTGTGGGGCTCCGGAATCGAGCCCAGCTGACTCGGGTGTGGCCGAGCCTAGTCTTGTTTGAGCTCAGCACTTGCTGCCTGGTCTAAGCCCAGTGCTCGGATGCTCAGGTTGAGCTCAGCGCAAGGCCGCCTTGGTCGAGCCTTGCGCTCGGCTTGGTGTTTGGTCTTCGACTGGTGCGGTGCGTGCGGTGCGGGTGCAGTCTTTGGTGGTTAAAACCTCCAGTCTTTTTCTCGCGGGGCGGTTAGGGGTTGATTAGTATAAAAACATTTCATTATTGTCTTGTTAGGATATTCATTACGATCTTTGTAATAGCATTACACAATTCATTAAGAGTTCTACTACATAGATTTCCAAAATTCTATTCCCTTATTTATACTCCCTGAGGTGGCAATCCCGGATTGGTTATTTTTATCGTGTGGGTCCACAGAAAAATGTTTACATTAAGAGCATGTGAGAGGGAGTACAAATTGAAAGTTTAAAATGGGAATGCACCCAAGTATTTTCCATTCATTAATACATCAATTCCCTTAACTCAATTATACTCATCAATTCCCTTAACTCAATTATACTTTTGACATAAATATGTCACTTTGGACTAAATCTATCACTTGAATCATTAAGGAGTTAAATTTACACAATAATTATAAGTGAAGGATTAAAAGTGTCATCAAGCCAAAGACCTTGTGGTCAAGCGGCATATAAGTGACTCTTCCAAATGAGAGGTCATGAGTTTGAGCCTAAAGTAGAGTTTTAACTGTATAGAACAAATATTGCTCAATAAATTTTACAATCGTTTCGCTCAAAAACAATTGGGTCCTTTGATGTGTGCGATGGTAGGATTGCTACAATGCTATGGGTGATAACATCCGTTTAGTTGTGTGCCCCTCTGCTCAATAAATTTTACAATCGTTTCGCTCAAAACGACGTTGTTTTGAGTGAAAAAACTTAATAACTCTTGACTTATTGAGTCCATTAATGTGTGCGATGGTAGGATTGCAACAATGCTATAGGTGATAACATCTTTGATAATCTCTATTAACTATATGTGTTTGCATAACAAGTTTTGATATCGTCCCTGATAGTCTCTCTTAGCTGTGTGCCCTTCTACTTAATAAATTTTTCAATCATTTCGTTTAAAACGACGTCATTTTGAGCGAAACAACTTTCATAATTCAGTGGTGAAGGGCAATTCAGTCTTTTGATGTGTGCGATGGTAGGATTGCTAAAATGCGAACTGTGTGCATTTGCACAAGTTTTAATATCATTTTGCTCAAAACGGAGTCGTTTTGAGTGAAACGATTTAAAAAAAAAAAAATCGGCTGGCTAGACTGACTAGTTGGTCGAATCGGCCAATTAGTCAGCTTTGCCGGCCCCAACTAATGCTCAAATCTTGTTCGTCTTGAGGTTCCACGCCTTGACGGCCACACCTAGGTCAAATTTTACAATAGCAGTGATGAGCATTAGCATAACTAATAATCAATGGCTTTTTAATAATATCCCATTCACTTTTCAAAAAAAAAATAATATTCCTTTCAAATCAGAAATTATATTTCAAATTTGTCACCTACTTACCCGCATGGGCAGCTCAATTGGTAACAGAGGTGAAACTTTGAAAGAATGACCAGGGATTGAGTCTCACTAGCGGCAGTGTGGGAGCAACTTCTCAAAGTGAAGGGGGTTGATTTACATCCTCCCAAATGCTCTGTCGGATCGGAGTGTGGGGGGGGGGGGGGGGGAGTGAGGGGCGGGGGGTTCATAGGATAGAGCCAGGAAATTAAAACTAGCACGATCTAGCCGGGGGAGTGAGGGGCGGGGGGTTCATAGGATAGAGCCAGGAAATTAAAACTAGCACGATCTAGCCTCTTACCATGATTTACATCAACTAGCACGGTCTAGCCTCTGTGGTTCATATTCAGTTGAGTTACCATGATTTACATCCTCCCAAATGCAATTAAAACTCGACACACAGACTACTTATGTTAGAGTCATAGGAATATTTAGGACTAAACACATTTAATTACTTAGATTAGAATGTCATATTCACCATAATCCGATCCGGTTGCCGGAGGATTCTGCCTTGCTAACTGCTAAGCGTCGGCTGTCCACGTTCTTCTGCGTGCTATACAGATAAACATATTAAAAAAGGAAGGTAAAGTTTATAGATTTCTGCTAATATAACAACATAGTTGCAGTAGGTGCTAGGCGCTAGTCTTATGACTAGCGCTTAAGGCTTAGGTAACTAACTAAAAAAAGAAAAAATAGTGAACATGTGTGTGTGTATATATATATATATATATATATATATATATATGTGTGTGTGTGTGTGTGTGTGTGTGTGTGTGTGTGTGTGTATATATATATATATATATATATATATATATATATTCCCAGACCCCAAGAGAACCTTTGTGTTCAACTATATCTAATAACTTCGATGTAACAATTTAAAATGATTAGGGACAACATTAACGGGTGATCGTGGGAACCACCATATGTATTCAAGGATACTATTGTTCCACAGAAAAATCTATATCCCAGACCCCAAGAGAATCTTTGTGTTCAACTATATCTAATAACTTCGATGTAATAATTTAAAATGATTAGGGACATCATTAACGGGTGATCGTGGAAACCACCATCTGAACCACATGGAAAGCTATTCCCGCATCTGAACCACATGGAGCAGCTGTAACAATTTGTTCTTGCGGGGGCATGTTTCCATTATTATTGGTTTCTTCGACTTGGGGCATGAAACTGAACTTTTTGTGACGGGGGCGTCTAGGTTGAGAGGATAATTGCATTGTTCGTGACCGGCGACGATTTCCATGCTCCTCCACTGGTCTCCATTTGTTGTCACGACACCTCTGCAGATGACTAGCAATTTTTTCTCTTGTCAGACCTGACACTTTCATCATCTCTCATATTTCCTTAGGATAACAATCTATTCGTCACATAAATAAACAGTAATTAAAAACATAAGCAAAAAATGTCAAATCGATCATAAGTTTATCATCTTTATACAATTGAGTTATTGAACTTAAAACGTGTATAATCAAACCATCAAACAAGTAATGTTAGTTTAATTGCACACTAATTGCACACGTACTGTACTTTTTAAAGTTCAGTAACTCAAAACATAAACAATTAATTTAGTGACTTGTTTGACATTTTTTCTAACAATAATATAATGAATTTCGAACAAGTCTACATGTTGCATGTGACCTGTAAAAAAAAATTAAGCCAGACCCAAAATAATAAAGGTAAGATGGGGTAATATCAGCCAAGGTCCTGAGTTTGAATTCTTCCTCTTTTTGTTTGAACCGATCAACTATTGATAATTTAGGTTGGTTTTACTTCATTATGATACTTTTTCAGTCAAAGTCAGAAAGTGAGGTTTACTTATCTCGGTAACCCAATAACGGTAAGGTGAGAAAGGAACGTACTTCCTGATCCAAGCTGATTGACGGTGTCCATGAATTTGTTATGGAGCTCTTCTGTCCACTTAAACTTGGCTCCTCTTCTCCTGGGCAAATGATTAATGTTGTTTGAATCTGTCGC